TTCAGGCTTTCCACAAAGCCCTTAAAACCTGGCTGTTCCGACAGGCCTGGGGCTGATGAGTTTCCCGCCTCCGCTCGAATTGTGTGGTTGTTGAGTGTTTTTTAAATTGTTGTAGTTGTTTGTCCGTTGTTTTTCTACTGTTTGTATCCCCCCCCCCCTTACTTTGGTTTGTGAGCCGCCCTGAGTCCCTCTGGGAATAGGGCAGCATAGAAATGCAATAAATCAAATCAAATCAAATTTGCAGTTTCATTTCAATTTTATTATAAATAGTATGTTGCCTTTAGTATCCTTTTCTAATTTACTTGCATTTAAAATATTTATGAATAAGCAGTTACAAAACTGGCAATACTGGCAACTGACTTTGTAAAGTTTATGCTTTTGTACTCTATCTTGAATCTAATTGTTAAATGACTAGGTACCCTAAAGCAGTGTGACAAGATACCTAAATATGGACAAAAATTTCTTAAACTAGATTTTAAGGCAAAGTTTTGACATAAAATATGTATTGCAAAATATATGAATTATTCTGAATTTTATTACCACTCTGATAGTTAATAGTGAAAGACCATTCACATTACTGATATATCCAACAGTCAAAAACCTTTGAAGAAACAATTAAGAAAGACATATTTATTTGTTTGTTTGTTTGGTATTTTACAGTAGCAATATTTAGAAATGTTGAAATTGATTTTGGGTAATCTGATATTTGAAGTGAAGGACATGATATCTACTCCTCTCACCTTTCCATATAAAAAACCCAACTGACTAGCAGTTGAAAACATGAGCATCCACAGGGTGGCCTCAAAATCTGCAACGTGAGGGGTGTAGTGTTACTATATGTACAAAAGGACTGGCTTCTATCGTGACAAAAAACCTTTCAGAGCCTCTCCTGTGGAGACTGCTGAGGTCTACCAATGGCACCCCTTTAGTAGGATGAACATTCTCCATTGCACTAAACTAGGACATTTAGGGTAAGTAGAATGGCAACTCAGCCTCTATTTCCCAATATTTTGCCTGCACTTCATGATTGTCAGGAACTTCTGTCTGAACTTGCAACCTTATAGAATTCCTAGTAGTGGATCAGTCATGGAAAAGCATCCAGAAATAGACATTTCCAGATTCAGTTCTTAGTATTTCAGATGATTCAACTGAAGACCTCTGCCCTATATTTTTTTACCAAACTATAATAGATAGAATATTAGTCCAACAGACTAGGCTGCCTTGAAAAAATGATTAGGTATCTTAATTTCTACATTGTTTCTGAGCTCAACTTTTCCATACTGCAACAGATAATAGATAGAAGTAATAATATAAAGATTTCCACATGCAAAGGACCACTGAGTGGAGGAGGAGCAGAAAAAGAGAGAAACATTATACCCAAAGGTGCTTTTTTCATGGACTTTCTGGTTTTCCTTTGAAGATGTTTCCCTTCTTATGCAAGAAGCTTCTTCAGCTTCCCAGAGCTGAAGCAGCTTCTTGGGTGAGAAGCAAAATGTTTTCAAAGAAATCCAGAAAGTCCAATTGCCTCTTGAAAAGAGCACCTTTGGGACAACCATGGCCTGGATGACTGAGACTCTCCATAGAAAAATGCAGTTAGGTGTGATACAGGACCTTAGAGAGCAGAGAAATAGAAAACTGACAAAACAATGGGATTCATAGTAAACTAACAAATGAAACTTTTCTTAATAGTATGGACATTCTAAAAGCAAACACATAACATTTTATTCATAGCATTACAAGCATTTACATAGGTTGTTCACATAATGTAGCTAACAATTAGCCCTTGGACATGTGCTCTTCTTAGCTAACATAGTGGTCTTATTGATAATCCAAATCCAGAGCATCTGCCAGTGGATTAATGGAAACTGGAATGTGTAATAAAGCTTAAATTGGCTCGTGCAAACTAATAACGCAGACTTCACGTGGCACAATAAACCCCAAATCTGGATTGGAAAACAGCTTTTTGGGTCAATGTGTTGTACAACCATTGTGCTGTACATATTATATGTATTATAAAATGTGCACAAGTTATTGCAACTTCAAATAGTCATGTGCAATCAAGCTCCACCCTTTTTCAGAATATTCCAGTTCAGCATTTGCACCTACTAATCTCAGAAGTATGGTTTATGGAGATTCCATGACTACTACTTCGCATTAATTGTTTCATTTCTCAGTTCTTTTTCCCAGATTTTTTTCTGAAATTTTTGGGATTGATTTTTTTCTATAAAAGTTGAATTCCTTATATGTTATTAACTAATTCTCTCTCTTCCTCTGAATTAATGGTACAGTTCTGGCTGCGTAAAGCGATGTAGCCAAAACAGTACCACTCTTAGGGAAAGAGTTTGTTATTGGTCTATAGGCTTATTTCCTTTGAAGCAATGTTTCAAGTTTCTCAGGATAGTTTATTTAATTTAACCTTTTATTTATTTATTTTTAAAAAGCCTTGACATTTGTATTTGAGACAATAATCTAGAGAAAAACTTTCTCACAATAATTAAAAGGCAGTCATTGTCTCTTAGGAATTTCTTGGCTACGCTAGAAGCATTACACATTTTCCAACATGTCCTCACTAAACTCTGAAAGGAAATGGGAATTGCAGAACACAGTTAGGAATTATATGCCACTGTAAATGCTAAGCAACTTATTTTGGCATGAATTCTATAGACAAAAGTCTACCTTATTAGGATTTAGGCAGAAATGTAGAAATTGTAAATGTCTTCACGCGTTTGAGACTGAGTTTTTAAGTTCTCGCAATATTTTCCCAGATGTAGATAAATTTATTGAAATGACCCTGAGATGTTGATTGCAACACAGTGTGTAAAATGCCACAGTTATATGTAAGAATAAG